TATCTCTCAGCTTAACGTTTATATTTGTAAGCAACCGAATGGACATAAAATTTCCAAAAACTAACCATAACGTAAATTTACGTCATAATACAAACTTACCATCCGTGTTATATGACTATTATACAGTAGTTAGAATATATAGTGTATCGTTCGTGTCTAAAAACAGGTTTGGAGATAAGCACTTTACACTAGAGGCGCTGTTGTAGCTACTGATGTTCAAGGTCTGCATAAGAAGGTCAGGACACGTGTGACCTACTTATTGAGCCGCCATTTTGGGATATTTTGCGTGAAATGTTTTAAGCAAACTTGTACGAGCAGTCTGTTTTATACGACATTAATTAAACAAAAATTGCATAAATTCAGTGATTTTCAGTCGAAAATATACTAATAATTTCGGATGATTACTCAACCCCAATTTTATGCAACTTTTCGATCAAATAGTTTAAAAGAAACAATCATCTATATCATTTTCTGTCGCGATTGAAACTAATTAAATAGGTGCTAAAACTGATGCAATTACGTATATAGACACTTCGTAAAGTGATGCAATAACATCAAAAAAAATTTAAAGTATAATAAAGAATATAATAATATAACAAATTTATAATTATTTTTTAAAAGCACGATTGGCTATAAAATTAAGATAAAATTCAATAGTATTATTAATAAATGTTGTCAATGTAATACTCATTTTATAATAAGTAATAGATGTGTAGATATATTTTTAATTTATAAATAGCTTTCAAAAAATTCCAAATATAAAATTTTAAATTAAATTATTTGACAATAAACTGACAAATAATACTTGAATAGAATACAATATATTCAAACAAAATATGAATATTTGTTGCCATAGCAAAATAATGCTAAAATTTTCTTTTTTACAATTAAATAGTCAATTTTACTTTAATTAAATAAAATCTGTTTTTAAATGTTCAGGATAAAAGATTTGAATGATCAGTGGAAAATAATTATTGAAACGCGAACGAAAAAATTAAATATAAATAAAATCAATTAAATATTATGGAATCTCTAGATTATAAGAATTAGATACATTTAGATTTCCATCACGTCTTTTAAAATAAAAATTCTGACAATAAAATTAATGTAAATTTTATTTAAATTGAATTAAGTATAAATTACTATTAAACTAAATTTTTTGCAATGTTTTATTAATAAATATTGAGAGTATAAGTCAATACCATCATCATAATTTTATTTTTAAATACAATATGGTCATATTAAAACAATTACATGCTTAATTATTTTATCACCAGATAGAAAAATGAAAAAATTACATTTGTTTTATATCTGGATTGCCAATATCTTTTATAAATTTCCATGTATAGTTCGTTCATAAACACGAAAAGTATCTACTCGTTTAGACTACTTGTTACAAACTTTAAACATATAAACTGTTTGAACTGCATCATGAACCTTCAGTTGATGCCTACGCTACATTTTGCTTTCCTAAGCTTATCTGCGAAAAATCTGAACAATCGAACGTCGGTAGACTTACTTTTACAATTAGGTGCAACACAATAACCCATTGCTTAACGTTTTAAGTACGTATATAAGTAATAATAGTCGACTGATGCAAGAACCACGTATGGTGAGCTCTATCGATCAGTCCCAAAATGGCCGTTGCCGCATAGAATCACGGGAGCGTGTCCTGACCTTCTTATACAGACCTTGCTGATGTTGTTTACATTCATAGCAATAAAACTAAAACGCTATCCTCTTTACAGAATAATCATATTTTTTTAGCCATTATAATAAAATCAGAAATTCCGCGTTTTTAAAACATCAGTTATTTTTATAAAATTAAAATAAGTTTAATACTTAATATTATTAAAGTTATTTTTATAGTAGTTCTATATTATACCGTACTTCAAATTATGTCAGAGATAAATCAATATTAACTTAGTATTATTATAATTGTAATGAATTTGAAAACATAATATACATATTAACATGAAAACACTTTTATTTCTAACTAAAATTTTTTTAATAAATTCATTTTGTATGTGCTATTTTTAAATATTGCTGTCTCTTTGTTTTTTTTTGACATTCACGTATTTGTTACAAACAAAAATGCATATACGCTAAACTATGAAATCTTACAATTTTCTCAGTTAAAAATCGCGTAACTCTGGGTTCGCGTAAGTCGGAGTATTACTGTAATGCATAAACCTTCGAAAAGCGAAGCCCTTCGGACCGCGAGGCATAGGCGGTGGCCCGTGTTGCTCAATACGCCGCCTTGGTCATAAAAATAATGTAATTTGAATATAAATTATTTACAAATACGTATGTCAAGTTATATTTTTATTTCCACGCTAAATATATTTAAGAGTTTTCGACCACTGTGCTGAGTGAGACGTTGAAACATATAAAGTTATACTTTTATTACGTACATAAACAGTATTGTAATTCGCCAACTGCACATCAGCAAATTCGTAAAATTTTTGTTTATTTTTAACAATCCAGATAATCGAAAACCCGCATGATAGATGTCCGGATAATCGAGGTTCTACTGTATAACTAAAAATAACGATCGAACTTTAAAGCAAGAACTCACCAAATAAAATCTTTACGATGGCAGCAAAAAGTCGGTTGTTTTAAAATAGTTGAAATGAACTTATGATTTTTAACTAGCAATACATTTTTTTAAAGCACCTTTTTTCGCTCTGGTATTTGTGGAAGAAGTATCGTCGGCCATTTTCCTTTAATCGTTTGACGGCAACTAATCTCTATACCAGTGATTTTTGACTAGTGTTTATTTTTTATTTCGCATCACACTCGAACCTATAATTAAGTTTCCATGGAAAAAATCGTGTAATTTAAAGACGTATTTTTGTAAACATTCAGTAGCCATATTACTTGTCACAATCTAATTTTTTTTTGTCGTTTTAATCATTTAAAAATATTTTATTTAACAAAAAATGGATAGAAATAAATGTAATTGAAACTAATAAAGAAAACTTATCGATACATTGTTGTAATTAAATAATTGGGCATTTTTGCGTACTTTTCGGAAAGAATATTTGTTCAGATTATCCGACTCAAAAAATAGCCTGTGGCCGAAGGGTAATAGACTGATGGCGTCTTCGTTTGTTAGATTTATGCTGCAAAAAGTCATCGTGCACGAATGATCTGATTAACCAAATTCTATTGTTATCTTCTGTAATTTACAGTGGCGTGTAGTCATAAAAAGCGGTGGAAGTGCCGCTGCCCTTGTATTTTTTAAAAAATAAATACATATTAATTTAAATAATACGAAAATAATCGCACAATTTTATATTATAATTGCATTATGTATCTTATTACAAATTTCTATACTACACGTGAAAAAAAAGTAAGATCGCTATTGTATAGTCAAAAATTAATGGCGGAGTGAAAGCGCTTATTGTCAGCATCCAAAAAGGCAGTTTTGCGCACGCGTTTTTCAGAGCACCAATTTAACTCGGTTTAGCGGTGAAAGCCTAGGACCTTGGGTAGATACTACGGGTATACCGCATCCAATTCTATGCAGAAGCCGTTAGCTGCCCGCCTGCTAAATATGTGGACGCCCTTGCTTGATTACGTAAATCGCGAGTAGATTTATTACTTGACCCAACCGATAAGAATTTACTGATATGTTTTCACGATAGTTCTGTATAATTGGCAAAAGTTAAAAAAAACTCTATTGAAATATTTAATATTTTTATTTTGCTCTTTCATTTTACCTTTCTCATCAATTTCAATGTGAAACCGGTGATATTACGATTTCGTACGTTGTATCTATGAGGGAATGTAAAAAAAACGTGAATAATTCTTGTATAATGTTAAAAAACTAACTGTTACTTTGGTAGCATTATGTACAGCTAAATTTAACGAATGAAAGAGATGCACGAGGTATAGATTAAGATCGAGAATTTATTCCTTTTAAATCTACGATTTATGTATCCGTTTGTCATAAAAATTTGTCTTTTCACTTTTTATCCGAGACTACAAATATTCGAATACAAAGTAACCAGTTTTGACCTATTTCTACTTAAGAAGTAGCTAAACAATTAATTAATCGATTAGGGAAATGTGGACATAAACAAAACCCTGACAAAAAAGCTGAAATTTTACTTAAACAAAAGCATAACCGAAACAATCTCTAGCTGAGTACATTGGAGGACTGATTTCTTCGTAATATTAGACGTAATACAGTAGAGCCTCGGTTATCCGACCCCGATTAACCGTCACCACGGTTAACCGACCGTCCTAGTCGGCAAATTTCAAATGTTCCCTAGTGATGGCGCGCTACAAGATTTGGCGCTACAAGAGTTAATAAAATGACCAAGTAATACTAAGCAGCTAAATGATTAGAGACGAGTCTGACATAAACAGTCCATCTTGTCCCTACAAATTTCTAATATTCCCGATCGATATCCAGCGCTGATGCCTCCAGAGCAGCAAGCTGACTTCTTTTCGCATCATTAACCGATCGTTCATTACTTCAGGGTGGTTTTTTTTTGTATTTCACTTTAAGTATTTTAGAATAAAAATGTATCAATAAATTTTTAATTAAATTGTCGTAAAGTATAAAATATATATATATATATAATCTGCATGTTGTAAAAAATTACAGGTTACTACAAAATTCTCACTTATTTCAGAAACAATATGTATCTTAAAAATAGTTAAGAGACTTGTTTCATGAAAAAAAAATATTTATGAATCACCAATAAATAACCTAAGTTAAACCATTAAAACTCATTGACTAATTTCAAGCTATTTACCATTATTATATTATAATAGACGACAGTTTTTTTAATTTAATGTTTTTCTTACTTATTTAACTTGATTAATATATATATATATTAATCAAATGAGTGTGTATATTAATTGTTCTATATATACATATATATATTATGTAAATAAAAATAAATTTTCTCGGCTACTTTTGGGCTCGTCTTTCATAATTTAAAAGTTATAGCTGGCAACCCTAAATTCGAATAGATGTCGTAGTGATGGCTGCTGGACCGATTGCTGAACGTAATCAAGGTAAATTGTATACATAAATTGTATAATAATTACTTGAATTACAAACTGTTGCACACTTAGTATTTTGACAGATGTGTACAACCTTATCAAACTATAAAACTAAAGTAGTTTGTTGATACTTAAGCAGGCCAAATTTGAAATTAATGAATATAAACAAAGCATTGTCTTTCACGTGACTAAGAAATTGATTTATTTTTTAGTCACGTGGCCAAAGTTTATATACCATAAATAAATCAATTTCTTATGATTTATAAAGCATTACCAAATATTTTACTTGGAACATCTTGAATATTATAATAAACTAGCTAACCGTCGCGCATTGCTGCGATCTCAGAAGAAAGGAAATTCAAGCGAACTCGTTATGATAAAATTAAATTTTTATTTCATCATTTTTATTAAAACTTATTATATAATTATTATTATTATTCATTTTCATCAAAAAAAATATTTCAAAGTGTCGTTTCAATTCTATTTATTTATTGGAGTGCTTGTGGATACACGATATTTTTTGTTTTTCCCTCTGGTGCGTACACGAATAAATTGAAAGGTTTTTTGACACGTGAGTTGGCCACATACAGTTGTCCACGCGAGAAGCACGCATTCTCCAAATTTAACCCACACACTCGCTGCGATTGTCAGAAGTGCGATATTTCTCACTTTTATATATTTTTTATAATTCTTTATAATTTTCATTTTTTTATTGCTCCTTCCTCTCTTCCTTGGCGTGTTGTGAAATTTCTGATAGTTGGATTATAAACCGTTTTATTCTAATTTATTTTTTTAAATTATTTTGAGTCGATATTAAAATTTGGAAAAGGGGGGATACCTAGATCGGTAAAATACGCGAATTTCTTCCTACAACTTCGGTTGTTGTTTGGGGTACAGTTTAGGTTTTAACAAACTCGAGCGAATACATAATTAGCAAAAAAAAGTTGAAATAAAGTAATTAAACGAAAATTATTATAAATATCGTAAATAACAGTTTACAAGTGCATATATAGAGATATTTTTTGAAGGGGGAAATGGTCTTCACAATTTGAAATCGATCGAACACACTGTGCGCGAATGCTCGTGTAAACGCGCGCCATCTATCGTAGGATAAATGTACTTCGCGGGAGTGTATTAAAAAATTAAAAAAACTTTCGAAAGTTTTATGGCAATCGTACTATGCCACGAACCTTCGGCGGAGTATAGTAAGCAACTTCCCAAAGTTTCACGGCAATCGGATAAACGGTGTGGTAATGCATTAAGGACAGACACACATGCATTCATTTTAATATATATAGATAAGAGTTCTTGGATTGCAAAAACCTATAATTAGGCAGCGAAATAATTGGAAAAATAAACATCTAATTTTACTGAAATTAAATAGATCTTATTTAATTATAAACATTAAGTTGTTTCAGCAAAAGATTTGAAAGATATTTTAAATAATTTAATAAATTAAATTTTTTAGACAATTGCCACAGTCTTGAATCTTTTAGGCTAGTATAAAAAGTATTTTTTTTATTAAATAAAGTTATAATTAGAACTGATATCAAAACTAATAGTGGAAGTTATATATTTTTCAATTTTATAATAACGTAAAAACTAATTAACTGTTTATAAGTAAATTAAAGTTATATAATTACTTATTAAACGTGACAAGATCAATTTATTTATGTAGCTTGTACAGATAAAATAAATATGGTTAATATGCACCAATTTATTAAACCAAAACTCAAAGTTATTGTTTTTTTCATATTAATAAGTCATTAATAACTATAATTATATTGATTATATATTTAAAAGTATATAATGTTAAACTGCTTCTAAATTTACCAATACGGCTAGGTATTGTCGATCACTACCAGTTGTATTGTTGACTTTGTGCTGTTTCATATTATGTTTATTAATTTTAATTTAATTTGTTTCAGATGCCACAATTTATATTGGTGGACTTGATGAAAAAGTGTCAGAAGCTATATTATGGGAATTATCTGTTCAAGCTGGACCTGTTGGTAAGAATTGATATCAATAACTAAAACATATATCAATTTTTAATTAAACATACAAACCTCTTAAATAAACAAACTTATTTAAAAACATTTTTATGATATTGTAGTACAACTTACTAAACTTGTACATGTATTTATAATGTATTAAAAAAATAATAATATATTTTTATTATCTACTTTTCTATTACTAAATTATGAAACTAAATCATTTTAGTAAATGTTCAAATGCCAAAAGACAGAGTAACAGGTCGACACCAAAAATATGGTTTTGTGGAATTCATGAAAAAAGAATATGCTGACTATGCAATTAGAATTATGAATATGATTAAACTTTATGGGAATCCTATTAGAGTAAACAAGGTAAAATAAAGATTTATTTCAACATCATTTTTAAAAGATGGAATCTAAATTTTTCACATATATTTTTCACAGTTAATGTCTTGCATATAAAATACATAATTTCTTGTCTCTAAATTAAATATAATAATGAATATAACAAGTTTTTAAAAATGCAGAATAAAAAAAAACACCAAAATTATTTGTGATAATTTTAAATGTAGCGAATTTCTTAGTGATTACCTATCAACTGATAAGTCACTGACTATGTATTTATAAAATAACTAGCTGTTACCCGCGACTTCGTCAGCGGAGGTTTTGCAAGCAAACCCCATTTACATCCAATATTTCAATAACCATAGTAATTGTTATATAACACCTACCGCTGAAGAGAATTGCCGAAAATCAAACGAACTATTTTCAATTTGATCAATTTTCTGAAACGTTTACAATCGTTCTATAATCGAACCAATACGCAATAACAAATTCGAATTTAAAAC